AGCAGACTCACATCTGTGGTCATCACCACCCTCTGTAGATTTCAGATCGGGGAGCCCCACTGGAAACAAAAGGGCTCCAGCCACCACTGCAGCTGATGTTGAAGCTGTCTTGGCAATTGGCCACCACATCCTGGTAAGGCAAGGGAAAATGTCTGTAGAGGTCAGGCATGGAACCTTGACCACAGAAGCACTTCATGGCTTGACACCATCATGCTCAGAAGCATGGCCAGTACCATCCCCTCTATCTTGCGTTTTTGTAGCCTGTCTATGGTCAGAAGTTGTATGTTGTGTTGTCTCTCCTGAGATAGAGAAACCCAGGCCTTCATTGTGCCCTTCTGCACCCCCAGGTGTACCCATGATTGAGAGATGTTTAAATTGCCCTTATCCATGTTGACCACGAAGGCATGGCCCCTCAAAAAAAAAAAAAATCACCACCATCTCTGATGCTTCCCCACTTTGCTGGTAAGATGGTGCCTTGACAAGGATGTCATCTAGAGAAGAAGAGGAGAAGAGATTGGATTTACACCCCGCTCTTCACTACCCAAAGGAGTCTCAGAGCGGCTTACAAGCTCCTTTCCCTTCCCCTCCCCACAACAGACACCCTGTGAGGTAGGTGGGGCTGAGAGAGCTCTTGACAAAAACTGCTCTTTTTCAAGAACAGCTGTGCCAGAACTATGGCTTGCCCAAGGTAATTCAGCCAGGTGCAAGTGGAGGAGTGGGGAATCAAACCCGGTTCTCCCAGATTAGAGTTTGTGCACTTAACCACTAAACCAAACTGGCTCTAGAGATGGTGACAGCGACACTCCCTGAAGTCTCAGATGTATTACAATGGCCACCATGATCTTGGTGAACCCCCTTGGGAATGACTTCAGGCCAAAAGTAAGCGCTGGTACTGAAAGTGTTTTCCATCATATGTGAAGCATAGGAACCTGCAGCGAGCCTCTCGAATTGGGATGTGTGAATAGTCCTCCTATAGATCGATGGATGCCAGGAAATCCTTTGCTTGAACATCTACCAGAATGGAGTTCAGAGTTTTCATCCTGAATATTCTAGTTCTGATGCAGTTGTTTAGCCATTTCACGTCCAAGATTTTCCTGGCATCCCTATTCTTCTTTGGCTCTGGGCAAGATATCCTTTTGGAATCACAATGGACTGACAAGGGCTTTGTTGTTGTTGTTTTTAATGTAGAACATGTCTTTATCTTCAAAACAATATCTGTCGAGTCCATCTCCAAAAAGATTTGTGCCCTTAAAAGGAACTGTCGCCACTTTAGCCTGTGCCGCAGAGTCCCCATCCCACTTCTGAGCCACGTGTTCCTTCTGGCTGCTGTGCTGCATGTGCCGTGGCTCTAGCTAACTGCTGCAGGATGTCCAGTGAAGTATCTGCCACAATCACTGTCGCTAGGGCAACCTTCTTAAGTTCAAGTTCTTTTGGGACTCCACTATCAGCTGAGGCTAGTCCTGATGCCCAAGAATGTGCCACCTTGGCAAAAATTGAAACTGCTGTTGACATCCTGATGGGGCAGGCTGAGACTTCGAAATCTTTGTGTAAGGCTTGCTCAAATCCCCTATTGCTGGGGCCTTGGGCAGCCTATCTGCATCCATAGGCAGAACTGAGTTGGAGGTCAAGCTAGTCCCAGGTTCATCCTCCATTGGCACCTTGAGCCTCCTGGTAGCCTCTAGTATCAGGGAATAAAGCTTGGAAAAAACACCTGGTGGTTAGCTTTTAGCTTGAAAAGGTGTTCCCACTCTGCCTTCAACCTACTATAAAAGCCTGCGGGCAGTTAGAGGAACAAAGGAGGCTTGCCGTTGCCTGCCTCAGCGTAGCAGACCTGGACTTCCTTGGTTATCTCCCGTCCAAGTACTAACCAGGACTGACCCTGCTTAACCTCTGAGATCTGACCAGCGTGGTCGAACCTGGGCCATCCAAGTCAGGGCTGGCATCCCGGCTTGTGGCACTGCCAGTTTGTACATCATCTGACCAGATTCCACCGGAGGTTCTGGGCCAAGATCATCGTTTTCTTTAGGTCTGGAGGAACGTCTAAGTACTTGAAAAGTAATCTCATGTACAGCTCTTGAGGGAATAGCCAAGACTGTACTGTCGGTACTACTTCCTCTTCTTCCTCCGACCATTCCCATTCTACCTGATCTGAGGATGGAACTGGGGTGTCTGAGTCTTTCCTGGGCTTTTTGCAGCCATCAAGTCAAAGCCCACTTATGGTAACCCCTGGTGGGGTTTTCAAAGCAGGAGATGTTCAGAGATGGTTGGCCTTGCCTGCCTCTGTGTCACGCCTCTGGGACTTTTTGGTGGTCTCCCATCCACATACTGACCAGGGCCGGCTGTGTTTACTTGATGCGCTCAGGCTAGCCTGGGCTAACCCTGCTGCCTGTTTCCTGGCTCTCCACAGAGTCTTGCAGGGACTGTGAGGCTTATGATCTGAATAGCTCTGACTTACTAAGTGCACCCCACAAAAAAAATCTGTGATAGCCTCTCTTTGGCAAACAGCGGACGTGGTGGAAGTGCTATCGAGCAGCAGCCCCGTATGGTTTGCAAGGCAGGGGACAGTCAGAGGGGGAGAGCCAACCAGGGCTGACCCTGCTTAACTTCCAAGATCCGATCAAACAGGACTAGCCTGGGCCATCCAGGCCAGGGCCACTGCCATTTCCTGCCTCAGCATAGCAACCCTGGACTTCCTTGGTGTTCTCCCACCCAAGTACTAACCAGTACTGCCCTTCACTCAGTGGGGCTGGTGGGAACAGAAATTTTTCACCATCTTAAAAAAATGAAGTTCTATTGTTTGAAGTATATTGTTTTTAGTAGTTTTTAATGTTATTTAATGGAGTATCACTATGTTTACTTGATGTAAGCTGCCCTGAGCCCTGCTTGCAGGGAAGGGCTTCCGAGCACGTTGAATCTAATAAATAAATAAATACATTGCAAAAACATTTTCTTCCCTGTGAAAGCTTGTCTTCGTGAGTGTGAGCTCCAACATATATTCAGGGTTCCCCCTTCTTTGGTACAGGGCTTTGCAGTGGGTCTTTTACAGTCCCAGCTAGTAGCTTGGGAACCATTGACTGAATTACTCCTTGCAGATCTACGCCTCCTTTCTCCCAAAATGGGACTCAAGGCAAGTCACAACATCCAATATTTTTAAGCAGCCAAAACCAATACATTAAGACCTAGGGTGTACATGACTTCTCTGTCTGTTCCATGGGGACTTTCCCCCTGAGGAAGAAGAAGAGAGTGTGTGGGGGGGGAATGGCTCTAATTCGCTGCAGCCTGTCCCAAGTTGGGGAGGTTGGAAGCCCTAGAAATCAATTTCGCCTTTTTCCTTCCTGGGTAGCTCGGGGTCTTGCTTGGGGGTTTTCCACAGTCTACCACCCTGCCTTCTTTCACCTCCAGTCTAGGTTTTTTGCCCTGTTAGAGCTTACCATGATTCTGGTGAGGGCTAGAGGCTCCCGGCTTTTCCGTTCCTCCACACGCCGGGTCCTCCGAGACTGGGGAGATTGCCGGATCTGTGGCAACACCCCGGTCTCCTTGCAGACTCAACTGCTTCCCCTGATGTGTGTTGGTTGGGGAGGGGACCTCTGGCCACAGGCTGAGCCCAGCAGGAGTCTGAGTACACAGCCTTGGCTGCTGGGGATCTCCCAGTGCCATTGGCTTCCACTGTGGTCTGCCGCCGACCGCGGCTCGAAATAATGAAGAGGGAGGATCTCTTCCTTCTCCTTCTCATTCCTGCATCGCTGCGCTCTACGGAGCACCTGTGAAACACGTCCTGCTCAAGCAGCAGGGCCGGTGGGAGTGGGATGTTCCCACAGGACAGGCCCCTCCCCTTCCTGGATTGACCTGAGGAAACCGACCCTGTTCCGGAGGAGGAGCCTATTCCCAAGAGTAAGGACTGCCCCACTCCCAGGACCACCGGAGAACTCCTTGGAATACCAGCAGGCAGGAGGCGGAAGCAGGCTTTATTCAGCCACCTCTCTGAATATCCTCTAGGCCCCCAAGTAGGGGTCAGTCACCAGAGGTCGCCATGACTTCCAGGTGCACACACACTCACACATGAAAAATACAAATAAATTACCCAAAAAAATTGGGTTGGACAGATTTATCAAGGATCAGTCGATATGCTGGCTGTGAGTTACGGCAGCCTAACGGGGCTCCGTGCTCAGAGGCAGAATGCCTGTGCTTGCCAGGTTCTGGAAAGCAGTCAGTAGGAGACGGCTGTTATGTGCAGTCTCTGCCTGTGGCATGCGACTGGCCACTGTTGGAGTGGACGAGACTGGATGGACCATTGGTCTGATCCTGCATGGCTGGAGGGTGTCGCTGTACAGTTCTGAGGGTGTCGCTGCACAGTTCTCATCCATTTCACTGAGGCCCGTGCAGGAGAGTTTCCCAAAGGATTGTGCTCCGTAGATCAGAATTGCCCGTCTTCCACTCCACCAAGACCTTGAATGTTGCTTAAAATCTGGCATCTAAAGCAACTCCTCCTGGACATATAGCGTATAGACAGGATCCACCACACACTTTGGCCGAAAATAAGCCTCCCCCCCCCTCCTGCAGTGCAGAGATGGTAGAGTCTCCTTGTGGATTCTATGCGTATCAAACCCCAGAGTTGTGCTGGCAAGACAGCCTAGGAGGGGACTAGCCTCTCATTCCTTCCTCCCTCTAAAGTCCTGCATTCTGTTCAGGAAACAAATATTAATTTATATTTTAGAACTTGGCCCCAACTGGTGATGACCCCCAGTGGCAAATCACTCTTCTGCTGGGTGTGACCTCACCCACTCCCCTGACAGCTAATTTCAGAGACTGGCAGCACACAGATGATTAATATCCATTGTCACTGATAACCCATAAATGTCGCTGGCTACTTTCAATTAAGCAGAACATCATTTACTACAGTAACAAATGGGAGACACTTGACTGCATAGCTTAGTTTATCCAGCGTCATTCTAGGACCAAAGTACCCCAAAGAGAGTGTTTTTTTAAAAAAGTATACTTACGTATCACCAGATTTGCGATAATTCTCTGGACATTCCAAAGAAAGACAACGGAAACCTCCCTGAATGTTAAAGCAGGTCTCATTGTATGAACAGGTATGCGTTTCAGTAACACACTCATCAATATCTATAAAAATGGAAGCAGCCAGAGAGAGAGAGAGAGAGAACTCAGTTTAGCACAGATAGAGATTTGACAATGGTATAGTTCTCATTATGGTGGTTAAGACTGCAAGTGGGACTGATTAGACTGAATTTACAAAACAAACAAACCCAAAAACCCTCCATATAGAAATTAGATATTAGGAAGAAGGGTTCCTGTCTAGCTTTCCCCCTCATAGATCGACCTATATTTGTTTACAGGGGCATCCTATGCGCCCCCACCAGCTGCCTGAAGTAATAAGGGTTCCTGTCTAGCTTTCCCCCTCATACCTAATTGTCTAGGGATCGACCTATATTTGTTTACAGGGGCAGCCCAGACAAGGTTAGAACTAAGCCAATATCAGCACCACACAGGCCAAAACAGCAGCCTTCCTACTTTAAGGGTTACAAAACACAAGATCTATTGGCACAATGACTAACTTTGCCGTTACCCACCTGGCTGTAGCTAGCACCTGACTGAGTAATCTGCTCTTTGCCTAGGGGAAAAAAATAAGGTTTCACCTTAGCTGCAGAAAAGTGAATTAGTTGCCTCCCCGAACATGTTCTGTTGTTGGGACAATTTTCACCCTTAAGCAACTGGTTGAAGTGACACCTGCCAACCTCAGAGCTGTGCAAACTTCATTTTGTGAGAGGACTCTTGATTCAGGATAATTTTTTGCATTCAGGTTAGGATCTCAGGGCTAAACTTCAATCTTGCCTGCCAGATGCTTACTAAGAGTTCTGTTTACGGAACCCTCTAGGCTGTTCAGAAATACAGAAACAGGCTGTTGCGTTGAGCACACGGCAGAAATGCACCTGCCCTGTGCACCCTAACCCTCTTGACCAAAAAACCTGAACAGGAGCCAGGGAGGTCTCTGCTGTGCTCTGTGTACTAAGAAAACTCCCTCTTTCACTGTCTCATCCAGAGAGCAATAGGGCAATCGTTACAACGCCATTGTGATATTTCATTTTATAATGATAGACTTTGTTGCAAGGAACCCTGAGACGCCAGAACCAACTATGGTGGTGGCCAAACCTGTGTCTTAAAATATTTGCTGCGCTGCTGTGAATTGGGAGAGGAGAGAAATTTCAAATGTGTTTTAAAATGCTGAATTTGTGCAAATGAGAACATCAATAACTTGGATGCCTCGTGCCTCCAAAGCTGTTGTCACAGTTCCCGATTCAGGTCTGGAGGGCCAGCTGTAGCTGTAGGTCCTTGGAGGAAAGCTAGGACAGACTATAAGGCTCTATTTGTAGCAGGAACTCCTTTGCATATTAGGCGACACACCCCTAATGTAGCCAATCCTCCAAGAGCTTACAGTAGCCCCTGTAAGAAGAGCTCTGTAAACTCTTGGAGGATTGGCTACATTAGGGGTGTGTTGCCTAGTATGCAAAGGAGTTCCTGCTACAAAAAGAGCCCTGTAGAGCTGCAGGACACACCATCAGCTGGTGCGCTCATCAGGCCACTGGGCTTCCTGTCCCTTCCTAAATAAGGATTCAGCAGCCCTATAAGAAATGGAGGGGATGAGTCTATTCATTCTGGGGTGGCCACTGTTCTCCCAGGAGACCTTAAAAGGATCTAAAGAAATCACTGCTGGAGAGCTGTTGTATCACACAGGGAGGATTCCTGTAACTGCCCAGCACTGCTGCATTCGTGCAGTGTTGCCCATAGGAGAAGAGTGCAGTGTACAAATGGCTCAGATGCGAGCAGCGCGGGAACTGGCCACCAGGGTTGCCTTGTGGCTGTTCTAGTATGGACACCTTTCCCAGGGCATTTTAGACAGGCAAACTTCTGATGCTGTTCATTCCTATAAAAATTTTTATACACACACACACACACACACACACATATATATATTGAAGGTGAGCAATGGGGGGGTGATGGACGCAATATGGTCAAGATGCAAACAAGTGTGGAAGAGCAAAAGCCCTGACCGGGGTAGCTCAAGCAAGCCCAATCTCGTCAGATCTCGGAAGCTAAGCAGGGCTGACCCTGGCAAGTATTTGGGCCGAGAGGCAGAGGCAGGCTTCCAAGCCACTTCTCTGAATGTCCTCCGTGCCCCAGTAGGAGCTGCTAGAGGTCACCATGACTTCCAGGCATGGGCACGCACACGCACACACAGAAATACAAAAATCCCCCTCCCGGAAAAAAAAAAGTGGAAGAGCAAAAGACAGCTGGCACATTTTAGTGCTTGAAGTGAAAAAAAGTCCAGTGGTCCTTCTTCCCAGCAAAAGGGGAAAAAATAAAACATCCTCCAATTAGCAGAAGGCAGCTTCAACATTTCTTTTAAGGGCCAACATCTGCCACCTTGGATGGTGCCCAAAGGGTTGAGCTTCAGAGGAAGAGGAAACTATCTGTAAAATGGGGGGAAAGCAAGAACCTGCCCAAGCACACGACACCTGGGAAATAATACCTGCCTCACACATACAGCCCCATCTTTCCCCAACTGACAAAAATATGACACCTGTATTTTGCATAAACCTTTCACTTTGCAACAGCAGTTCTGTAATTCCAGCCTTTTACGAGCATCACCTTTGCACCTACCTTGGCAATTCCGTGCATTTGGTGCCAGCTTATAACCAGACGAGGGGCAAGTGCACTGAAAACTCCCTGGAACGTTATTGCATCGATAGGCACAGATATGTCCTCCAGTCGGTAGGGCACATTCATCAATATCTGAAAAGCACATTCCCAAATCAGGAAAACAGAAGGAAGGCTTCCAATGCCTTGTTGCAAGACTCCTACACCCATCCAGACTAGTTGACTAGGGTTCACGCAGATTTCCGTGGAAATATTTCTACTCACAGAAAATGTCAAGAGTATTTTTTTTTACAGGTGTTGAGGCTAGCACATTCTGAAGAACACTGTCTTACAGAACCTTCAGGGTCCAGTGTGTGGGTTCTAAGAGCACTGTAGCCTGTCAGCTTGCCTCAGGAGGGAGGCAGGCTCATATGCTACAATGATCTGTGTGCAAATTCATCAGAACCATGGTGAGTTTTGATCCATCACCACTGAAATTCCATCACATGCCACAAGTGGGAGGAGTTTTAAATCCATTCCCAGATCCTCTCCGGGGAAAATTTAGTGACTATTCCCATTTTATCCCCTGGATGCATAACTCAGCAGTGGTTGACAACTTTCCCCTGAGCAGAAAAGCAAATGTACATTAAGATATTTCTAAGCAGCAAAAACATCACCAATTTTGTGTGAAGCTAGACCACCTTGCTCAGGTGAAACTTCTTTAAGGGAAAGTGGATGACTATGGGTGGAATTCATGTGCTGTAATTTCTCAAGGACTTGCCAACAAATTTTAATTGAGCAAACTTCAGAGGACGGCGGAAGACAAGAGGGCCTGGCGGGAGCTGGTCCATGGGGTCGCGAAGAGTTGGACTCGACTGTGCGACTGAACAACAACAAAGACCACCTTGCTCAGGTGAAACTTCTTAAAGGGAAAGTGGATGACCATGGGTGAAATTCATCTGCTGTAATTTCTCAAGGACTTGCCAATAAATTTTACCCAAAGCAAAATTGCAGCTGAAGTTAGAAGGTTCAGCACGGGTAAAACTCTGGAGGGTTTTTGAGGGAATTTAAAAGAATACTGTTAAGAACTGTAACATTTCTGGTGGTACTCATATATCCCTAAATCCTATATTTAAAATGTTTATTAACAGAAATAGGTTTATTGTTTATTAAGAATGTGCCCTGCCCTATACATCCATCAGAATCTGGTATCTACAGCCATGCTAGTTTGCTCCATAGCTAAAGTGATCTGTGCAATTTTCAAACATAGTAAACTATTTCCATAAAGTTTTGAAGTCGTGTCAAGACAACTTATGGGGCAGTAATTTTGGGGGGTTGTTTTGCTCCCTTTTTTATGGATGGGAACTACAATACTAGTTTTCCATCCTACTGGAAATATACCCAAATTATTTATCTGATTAAACAGTTTGACTAATATCGGGGTCCAACTACCAGGAAAGGTTTTCATCAAATCTGAAGGAATGAGGTCCTCCCCAGGGGATTTGCCTGAGGCCAAAGTTGTAATAAGGGTTTCAATTTCAGACTCCGTCACTAGGGCCCACTTTGGTAACAACTGCATGTCAGTAGCAGAAGGGGTGGATTCATAAGCTTTAGAAAAATGCTCAAACCAAATGTTTCCATTTATCTGAGCATCCAAAAGTTAATGAAACTGGCTCTCCAAACCAGGATTATTTTCTTTCAAAAGCAGCCTGAGTCAATTTATATAGTAAACTATTCATAACTTATGCATGAGAAAAATCTGTACCAAAAGGCTGGTTTCGCACATGCATGTATAGAACTTAACTACACTGCTGTCAATACTGTACATTTGATGGGCATATGAACTCTCTGTTGATGAGCATTGTGAATGAGGTAGTACAGCAGTACAGTTTATCGTATGGCATCATGTGTCTAGTATAGCCAGGAGACCCTAGGATTGTCTGGCAGCCTTCAGTTCTAGCCCTTTTAGCATTATGCACCATTAGGTGGCGAGCTAGACTTATTTTGGGGGGGCTGAGAGAGCTCCGAGAGCTGTGACTGACCCAAGGTTACCCAGCTGACTTCAGGTGGAAGAGTGCGGAATTGAATGTGGTTCTCCAGATTAGAGTCCATTGCTCTTAAGCACTACACCTGGCATCAGATGGGACAGAGGTTCGGCCTGTGCTGGCTCATTCAAATACGCAACATGCTAGTTGATGCATGCATCTATGTTTAGCACACTGAACCATGCTGGGAGTATGACTAGAGGGGAGGGGAGGAAACATCAGGTGCAGATGTCAGTGTTCTGCAAGCAGAAACCCCCAGGTTCAGTTCTTGGCAGCTCTAGTTTACATGATCCAAAGGAGGGGCTGCGGCTCAGTGGAAGAGCCTCCGGGTTACACGGTGAAGGTCCCAGTTTCAATCCCTGGCATCTCCAGTCAAGAGGACCAGGCACTAGATGATGTGAAAGACCTCTGCCCAAGACCCTGGAGAGCCACTGCCAGTCAGACCGGACAATACTGACCCTGATGGACCCGATGGTCTGATTCAGCTGAAGACCCCAGAGAACAGCTGGAGCAAACAGCACTGGCCAGGATGGACCAGTGGCCTGAATCAATAAAGGAGGGGCCAAAATCAGAGGCAGGATTTATTTGCAGCATTTGTAATGAAATAAACAAAAGAAAAGGATCCTGCCAAGTCCTGACTGATTAAGTCTTCCAAACAGGCTCCCGGCAAATGGACGAAAGCCTAACTCTGTCCCAGGCCAGGCTTGCAAAGAGAAGGTCTTAACCCAGCTGGAACTCTGCTGCTGCCTGCAACAAGAATCTCAGGTGGCCAGGCTGGGAGAGATCCACCGGAAAGCCAGCCACTGATCAACAGCCCGACTTAGTGGAATTGCAAAGGGGTAGCCATACCATATTAGTCTGTTGTAGCAAAATTCAGTGGCGCCTGGAAGACTAACATTTCTTTCAGCATGAGCTTTTGTGACTCATGCAAGCTCCTCCTGAAAGAAATGCTCATCTTTAAGGGGCCACTGAACTTCGCGTAAGGCTGCTTCAGAGTTCATATGGACAGCGAACCCCAGGACTGCTACTCACCTTCACAGGTGATCCCGTCCACGTCACTAAGCTGATAGCCCCGACGACAGTAGCACTGATAGGAACCGTACACATTAGCACACTCCTGGCTGCAGGGATTGCTTTCACATTCGTTCAAATCTAAAATCAACAAAAGCACAATATTTGACCATCTTTCAGCTGTTGAAAAAGTTTGATCCCCACCGCATTTTATTTTTGTAAAAACTCTTCATAAGAAAAGAAAAAAAACATTTATTATATGGTCAGTTGATCTTGTTCAGCTCTGCAGTGCAGCAAAAAAAAATCAGTCACCAAAATGTATACAAATACTGTGGATGAGAAGAAGAGATTGGATTTATACCTTGCCCTTCACTACCTGAAGGAGTCTCAGACTGGCTTACAGTTTCCTTTCCCTTCCCCTCCCCACAACAGACACCCCGTGAGGTAGGTGGGGCTAAAAGAGCTCTTTCGAGGACTGCTCTTGAGAGAACAGCTCTGAGAGAACTTGTGACTGACCCAAAGTCACACCAGCAGCTGCATGTAGAGGAGTGGGGAATTGAACCTGGCTCTCCCAAATTAGAGTCCACACTCTTACTCACTACTACAAACTGGCTTAGTAAAATTCCTTTAACCGCCAGGGTCTAGTCTTAGCCACTGCTTTTCAAAACATGGCTACTCAGAGGCCAACAGCGTCCAACCATTTGAGACCCCGGGACTCATGAAACAGCAAACACATGCCAAGAATGTGTCATCAGAAACATATTACAGGAAGAGGTTAGTAATGAGAACCTCCATATTCAGAGGCAGTAAACCGTTGAAATCAAGCGCTAGAAGGCAACATCAGGGGAAGGCCTCGGCCTCTGTGCCCTGTTTGTTGGCCATAAAAGGCAACTGGTTGCCGCTACGTGAAACAGGATGCTGGACTAGATGGACCGCTGGTCTGATCCAGCAGGGCTCTTCCTATGTTCATACACAGAGGTGCCAGAGTTATGACCTAACCACTGTCAAGGCCAGGATCACAGGCATCAGACTGAGAGAGTGAGGGGCAGGGAAAACACAAACCGAGCACCAGAGGTGTACCCTAATGAGGAGCAAGAGAAAGGACAGGAATCCTTTCCACTGCTGACTGACCTCCCTTGCTGTCCTGCTAAGAAAGGCAGGACACATGGCTCCCTGGTTCTCTACATAGCACAGCATTCAGAAACCAAGCAAAAAAGGCAACCCCATAGGGGGGCCTGCTACCCAGCAGGAGTGTCCTGGAGGGCCTTGACCCCAAACAAGGTAACCAAATCTTTTGCTGAATGACCTAATAAAATAGCCAAGGGGGGCCATTGATTTCTTGTCCCTACAGTAGTTACAAAATAATAGCACATGGACCACAGTCTCTAATTCCCTGACACTGCAGGGACCAAAATGTTTATAGGAATTTGTTTATAGAGGACCCTTCAAGATTGCTGATGCACAAGGCTGAAGTGCACTAAAATTCCTCCTGTATTTAGGCACAGACAAAATCCTTTGAACAATTTGCACTTAACATTTGGAGAAGGCTTGGGCATTCGTTAGGCACATGTTCTCCTTTAACTTTACATCTCAATTTTTAAAAAAAATTAAACGGGAACAAACTTTGTATGCCATAGCATGGACTTTCTGATAACCTACCTAATAAAATAGCCAAGAAGGGGCCATTGATTTCTTGTCCCTACAGTAGTTACAAAATAATAGCACATGGACCACAGTCTCTAATTCCCTCACACTGCAGGGACCAAAATGTTTATAGGAATTTGCTTATAGAGGACCCTTCAAGATTGCTGATGCACAATGCTGAAGTGCACTAAAATTCCTCCTCCTGTATTTAGGCACAGACAAAATCCTTTGAACAATTTGCACTTAACATTTGGAGAAGGCTTGGGCATTCGTTAGAGAATGTGCAATGTAAACCATCAGAAGATGTATGCTATGAAATACACATGTTCTCCTTTAACTTTACATCTCACATTTTTTAAAAAATTGGGGAACAAACTTTGTATGCCATAGCACGGACTTTCTGATAACCTACATCACAAATTTTCTAAATAATGCCTGTGCCTTTTCCAGACTGTAACAGTACCATACCCATACCTCAAGGCTCACAAAGGCTTCAATCATACGTTAAGGAGTCCCAGAATAACTGAGAAATCAAGACTGTATCTTCCTGTTCCTTTGAATGCATCCGGCAATCCAAATACAGTAACTAAGGTGCCACTTTGGCCATGCAAACCTAATAAATACTTGGGGGTTTTGCATGCATGTATGTATCTGTGGATTAAGTTGAGCTATTCACTGTATACCAATGCTCCCTCTAAGCTGTGGAGTCTTATGAGCAAAAATTCTGCTTTGTGAGCTACCGGCATTAAAGTTGTGAGCAAGCGATTTGGCTACAGCATAAATTAGTTTCCTCTGGAGCCATCCTTCCTGAGCTAAGACAAAAATGTGTGAGCCAGAGGCTAAAAAAGTGTGAGCTAGCTCACACTAACTCAGCTTAGAGGGAACACTGCTGTACACCTAACAGAAAATTTGCACTGCTGTACACACTAACAGAAAATGCTTGGCAGTGCAAGACAACCAGATTTCTCTAGCACAGGTTTGCACATCAGGAAATGTGGCTGAGGCTGTGATTGTCGCATATTGTAACTCTGCAAGCGAGAGGATCTGGCAGGGAAAGGGTTAAGAGAATTATCTCACTCAGGTACACTTGTTAATTAGCACCACCGTACAAGCTCTCCCTCCTCTGTGAGGGCAGATCTGCGTGTGTCCCCCCCCCCATAGCTAGCAATCCAAAACAGTCCAGTGGCGCCTGAGCGGTGGGTGTTGCCTTCTGACACACTTCCGGTGATGTCAGGGGTTGTGGTATATGCTAATAAGTTATGCGAATAAGTTGTGCTAATGAGCTCCTGCACCTCTTTTTCTACAAAATGACCCCTGTTGTTCACAATAAGTTAAATGTGCCTACATGAATATGTCATGGAAGATGTGCTTCTATTTTTCTCAGTAAAATTTCTTTCTCTTGGTACCACTGGAGTGAGATCATCTTTGTAATTTGTTTGAACAGCATTTCCCCCTTAACCGGGAAATGTGGAACATCGGGGATACTGCGAGAAAGCTTCTGTGCTTCCAAGGCAAATGATATATATATATTTTACATTTAACCCAATAGTGATAACAGGTGGTTACCTTCGCATGATCTTCCATCAGATGAAAGTCTGAAACCCATGGTACAGCTGCAGTAATAAGATCCGGGCGTGTTTTCGCATTTGTGAGCGCATAGGCGACCAGGGTAACGTCGGCATTCATTCACATCTGTGGAAAGAAATGTAGGCAGAAACAAGGTAGTGATTTGCTTATAGGGTATACCTGCCCTATAAACAAGTTACTTTAAATTCACTTTAAAATATCCGTGAAGGGGAGCAGTGGCACAGTGGGTACATCCGAACTGTGTCAGTTCGAGCCTTGCGCTGGTGTGAGCAGCCAGCTTGTTGTCCCCAGCTCATCGTCCACCCAGCGATTCGAAAGCCTTGGTGAGTAGATAAAATGGGAACCACTCCTTAGAGAGGGTGGGCACACCAACTCCCCTGTGGGAAGGTGTTAGCTGTCGGTTGGGACGTCCTGCTCCAGGATCAGAAAGGCGGAAGAAACTACTCGACTACAAAAATCCCTGCAGTGGGATGCTCCGGCCAGGCGGTGGCAGTGTGGCGATACAAGATATGGGTCCTGAAGCCCCAACGTCATCAAGCCGGTCGACGCAGCCGTTCAGGACATGACTGATCCAAGCCAGAAGACGTTTCCACCGTGCAGTTACGGCGTGTGCAATTAAAAAATGAATTATATGTTGTCTTTCATATCCCCTATGAACATTGTTAGTCCCCTGTCTAAAAGTGTAACTGTAAATCACTTTGAGCCCACTTGTGGGGAAAGCGATTAATAAATCAAAATCGAAAGCATAAACTTCAGTCCATGAGCCAGATGAGCAACTCAGAGAAGATGAAAGCTTGGACTTCGTCTATCTTGAGAAAATGGCACAAGAACACCTCAAAAACCCAAATTCCAAGGCTCATTCCCCAGCCACTTCAATAATGTAGGACAGCTGGATTCCTTCTTCTGCCAGCATCAGCATCCCAACACCACACGGATAGGAAGGACACCATCCGCATAGCCACAGGTGACCAACATAAGAACATAAGAGAAGCCAATGTTGGGTCAGGCCAGTGGCCCATCCAGTCCAACATTTTGCATCACACAGTAACCAAAACCCAGGTGCCATCAGGAGGTCCACCAGTGAGGCCAGAACTCCCAGAGTCCCCCCACTGTTGCCCCCCAAGCACCAAGAATACAAACCATCACTGCCCCAGACATAGTGTTCCATCTATAAAGGTAAAGGTTTCCCTTGCTCGAAAGCCAGTCGAATCCGACTCTAGGGTTGCTGTGCTCATCTCCGTTTCAAAGCCGAAGAGCCAGCGCTGTCCAAAGACGTTTCTGTGGTCATGTGGCCAGCATGACTAAACACCAAGGCGCACAGAACACTGTTACCTTCCCACTGAAGTGGTACCTATGTATCTACTTGCAATTTCTTGCTTTCGAACTGCTAGGTTGGCAGGAGCTGGAACTAGAGATGGGAGCTCTCTCCGTCATGTGGCACACTCGGGTCTCGAACTGCTGAACTACCGACCTTGCACAGCCTGCTATACTTGCTATACTATTCCACATTCCATCTATACCTTGTGGCTAATAGCCACTGATGGACCTCTGCTCCATATGTTCACCGAGTCCCCTCTTGAAGCTGTCTATGCTTGTAGCAGTCACCACTTCCTGCCGCAGTGAATTCCACATGTTAATTATTCTTTGGGTGAAGAAGTACTTCCTTTTATCTGTTTTAAATCTTCCTACATGACCAACATGGCACCAAACCATATTTTTTTAAAAAGCTGCTGCTACACTTCATTATCACATAGACTGGCATTCAACTAGGCTCAGATAAAAAGATGTATTCTATTTTACTTAACAAACCATCAATTGCCCCTCCTCAAAAGCCCTGTTTTTTGCGCCTCCACTCACATAATGAATAGAACTGCAATGCTTAGGCCAAAGACAATGGAAAAGTATCAGCCAGCTATTGTTGTGTGTATGGTGTGTGTGTGTGGGGGAAATACACCAATCTGCTATTTATTTCAGCTGTGAAACTAAGCCACTGTAGAGTCAATGTGCTATTAAACCGTTTGTTCAGGGCATGAATCCTTATTGTAAAAGCAAAATGCAACTGTATTATTTTTCTCAAAAGTGGGCTAAAGAAAAGCCACTTACCTGTGCAAGATCTACTGATTCCATCAAAGTAGTAGCCCAGTCGGCATTCGCAGCGGTAGCTGCCAGGGGAATTGATACAAATGTGACCTTCGCCGCATGGCTGATTAGGTGCTGCACATTCGTCCACATCTTGGAAAAAGAGGAGGGTTAGAAAGATCATTTCAGGTTAAAAAAGAACATGAGAAGTAAGCAAAACTGATTGTCAGTTATTCTGTGCAAGAATACAAAGGCTCCAAATCTAGAGACTGTCAACTCCGGCTTTTGCCACATCGCAGGGAATATATTATTCACTGAGGTTCACAGGGAATATATTATTCATTTCAAAGACCCATATCTTGTCTTTACAAAAAAGGGTTTCGTGAAAATTGAATAAAACCAATACATTTTAAAATAATAATACATAAAAGGCAGCTTATGAAATGGAAATATGAAAATATTAACATGCAACCTTGTCAGGAAAGCCAAAAGTCAAACTGCAAACACTATGCCCATCTGCCAAGTGCTTTTCCATCTCTATATAACAGCTGTGCACATATGGTATTGGGAACATTTCTAGACTGGAGGGAATGATTTGCAGGCAGGTGTAACACAGCAATCTCCCATTTTTAGTAATCAAAGCCCAGATTCATTACCATCTTCTCCACTCTTCACCTCACCTTTTCCAAACCACTGAATTGTATACTGCAACCTTAGGCCCTGTAAGTTCTCTTCATTGAAGAATATAGATGAATGTTTTAAATCACCAAAGTACTCCTAGTACGATGTGCCATATTGCAGATCTAGGGCTTCTTCCAAGACTTCTGTGCACAGATGTTGGTGGCAGACTACTGCGCTTGGAAAATGGAGACAGGATGCAAAACTAAAGGTCAACTTTCTTTTTTTCATCTAGCGTATTGGCTGGACAGCCATAGTGGCTTCATAGTCACATAGCTGTGGCTACACACAGGTACCATGCGGTTCATACCTAGTGGGGCGTGGAAGTACTATTATTAATACTGCTAGTCAATGGGGCATCATCAGCGGGGATATGAGCAGTGCAGTGGGGCATACACTTTGGAAGAGGTTCTGAAATAACGCTAGTCAATATGCTAGCGGCTAGATGAAAAAAAGAAAGTTGACCTTTTAGCTTTGCATCCTGTCTCCAACTTCCAAGATCAGTAGTTATGGACTGTAAAAAAAAAAGGTCTCCAACATTTATACCCTCCCACCCCTCCTGAGTGTGAACACCTCTCTGTGTCATGAGGGTGAAAGTGGGTGCAAAGTGTGCTCATCATGGAGGGAAGAACTCCTCTACCCTTACATACCACAGCCCCCCCCACCCCCAGGCACCAAACCCATCCTGCCAGCCCACTGGAGCCCCACCTTAAAAGGGAATCACCAGGTGCCTTGGAGCCTCCTGCCCCGATCTGTTCCTGGGGCTCTCCACTGAGGCAAAAAAGTTGTTAGCACTGCCTAGAGACACCAGCAGTTCCTAACACTCTTAGGAGAACTCTGACAGCAGTGATACAGAGGATGGGGGGGGGAACCCCACAGTTTGGAAACATTTCTGCACCATCCCCCGTAAGGCCATCACCACCCCATCCTTCCTGTGAGCTTTCCCACCTAGTTGGCCACTATCACAGAAAAAGTCTGGGCTAGCAGGCCCCTTCACAACAGCCCGTTTTCTTGGGCTGAGTCCGTAGCTGTTACTGACCGACGCATCTTGTCCCCTCTTCATTAAGGTGATAGCCCCGGCCACAGTTTGGCACAGTCCTCTGGCAAGCAAAAGAGCCATCCGTGTTGATACATGTTTGGCCCGGTGGACAAGGCGTGTTCTCACTCAGGCATTCGTTAACATCTGCAAGTGGACAACAAGTTAAAGCTAAAACAAAACTCTTTTCCATTGGCAAATATTTAAAGAGAGAAGGAAGATGCTCCTCAAATCCTAACTGAAAATGTTTCCTGAAAAAGGCAAAGCATAGGCAGTGACAGGATACAATGAAAGGACCTTACAAGAGGCAAATGTAGTGAGTGGGAAATGTGGACAGATCCATGTCCATGGGAACTAGTTAGAGGGAACAGCCGGCCTTACCAATACAGTTGCCTAGTGCGTCTTGTATAAAGCCGCTCTTGCATTGTTGCTTGGGTCGGCAACGGAAGGATCCTGGAGTATTCTGACAGATAAAATCGGGGAGGCAGTTATGAGTACCAGTCTCACACTCGTCAATATCTAGTACGTCACAAAAGAAAGAATCTGTTAGCAGAGGTGCACAGTGTTCATATAATGATTCAGACACAAGAAGGAATTAAGGAGATCATTTTTATTCTAAGTCTATATTTACACCGCATGTTTTGGGCGGAACTAGATGGTATCTCAGAAGATATGGGGTCCCAACCCCACATCAGCTAACAGGGAATAAGGACCAATATATGCTTATGATATGTATGGCCAACATGCAGTCGTAATACATAAGCTCTATTCCTGCACAAGGAACACACTTAGAAGGCAAGTTCCATTACAATAAGGGTAGCCTATTAAATTCCATTATTTTACTACAGAAATTTGATGACCACTGATAATACAATAATTTATATGGCACCGATACAGGTGTATAGGTGTACTACTTCCTTTACCCAGGCAATAAAGAGAAGTAAACCAGGATTATCAACATCTTAAAGAAGAACGTTAGGGCATGACCCAGCCAAATATTAAACACTTAAGCACCATTAATGTCCGCTCAACACATGTGGTTGGATCCAAGCTACCACACTGGGTCCCTTCTATCCTGTAAAAGCAGATGCTCAGGGTCAGGGGGCCCACATGGTTTAAGAGCCACATGGGTTGGGCATGGGGGTGGGGTTGCTTTTGGGAGAGGATCTCAACCAAGACCTGCATTTCCTTTGGCAGCACTTAGGATCCAGCCCATGGTTTATTTCTTCATTGAAATCCACAGATTGTTTAACTTTGGCAAGAGGACAAAACGGTGGTTTATTTTGGAGCATCCAAGCAAGTCCACCATTGAGACGGAATCTGGACCCCAGTTTTCCTGTTTCACAACTAGGTCTTCATATTAGTTCACATTGAATCTCATGAACTGCAATCCTAAGAAAAGTTATGCCCTTCTAAGCCCACTGACTTCAAGTGACTTGGAAGGGCATAACTCTACTTTGGATGGCGCTGTTAAGTCATCCAACTGAAGTTTAAATGAAAAAGCACTCAGTAAAATTTTGGCCACAGCAATATCAAATTATATACCTCACACTTCTGTGTTTTGGGACAGGACAATAATTCTCAGAAAGAACTAAGAATCACACGTTAACACTCGTTACAATGGGTAGAACTTTTTTCTTCTTTTTAAGCAGGAATATTTCTAGTCAGCACTGGAGGGGGCCCAAGACTGCATTAGAACGGCATTTTGTAAAACAATCTCTGTATATATTTCGGTTCAAGTAGACCTCAATGATTAGTGACAGACAGGAGTCTGGGCACTGTGCCACCAAACCGCTGCAACAGTCGGCCCTGGGCACCTGGCATTCAGTGAGTGGATGATGTTTAACCCTTCCCCTCCCTCTGGCTTTTCCTTGCAGCCCCCACCTCTGTGGCAAGCAGAAGAAGCACACACACCCCACTCCTCTGCAAACTGTCTCCTCATACCACAACATGGTTCACCACTGCGCAAGCTCCTGCCCGAGGTCTAGTTCTGCACTTTGTGTAGCAAGTGCATTAGCTGCAGATCAAACAGTGGTACGTGTGCAAAAAGTGTTCATATAAAAACACAATGAACAAGCCACTTCAAAGACTGTATGTAGAGAAGCAGCTAGTAAGTGACGGGCATACATAACCAAGGGCCACGCTGCTGCAGGCGATGAGAGTTCCCCAGTGCCAGCCCGCCAAGAGGGCATTATGTTAACCGCTGCAAATACCAGCATTTACTTTATTTATTTGTATGAATTGGGCTTAACGCAGGGTTGGGTCCACAGGAAGAGTTCACAGAAAGTGTACGCTGCAGTGAGGAAAGGAAATCCAGTAAGATCTCCTCTTTCTTGCTTTGCTGCCATTGCAAGCTATTAAGCAGAAGAAGGAGACTGATGCAATATTGCTCGATTTCTCCTCCCCCCACCCCCATTGCTGCAGCCCCTTATCCCATGATGTATTTTGCTCACAAGGCTCTTCCAATGCTCAGAAAGGGGTTTCAGCACAAAGAAAAGCTGCTTGGGGAAAGGGAAGGGAAGGCCAACTACTGCTCTGCATTCTTCCAATGGATCCAGTCCATAGTGAAAACAGAGTAAAGTAGCTTAACATCGTTAGACACAGAAGCACACCTCTTGCCTTTTCAGGCAAAAAAGGATTACAGACCACCACATACCTTTGCAAAGGTTTTCTTCGGTTAGTTCATAACCAGTTCCACAACTGGTCTCACGTTGACAACGGAAAGATCCTAGCGTATTGATACACCTTTGTCCAATGCCACAACTGTGGTCTGCAGTGATACACTCATTATTATCTAGAGAGAATTCAGGGGGGAAAGTATGAAATTGCAGATTCACAATACTGGGTGTATACCCTCAGGTGGCCTAACTTCAAAGGAGCTGCAGATATTCAGGCGAGTAAAGGTAAACTGCAGGGATTGGGCGATTAACAAATTTAATATATAAATATATATAAAATAAATGAACTATCCCTGCAACAAACGCTTCCTTCTGACAACAAAAAAGAAAGCCCTAAACTAAGCACCACTAAAATGTGTTTTCCTGCTTATTTTTAGTAATTCATAAGTACTGAACTAGGTGGACTTTCTCACTTTCATTTTCCTGGTTTTTATTCTGTTCCAATTTTCCCATTGCTAATTAACTAATAATCTCATTACAAGTTTTTCAGAAGGACAGGATCAGATTCCATCCATTGATATAAATTCTCCTTTCCAGAGTATGCAGTCAGGGTAGAACTAAATGTTACACGGCTCTCAGAACTGCTGGTGAAAATGGCAATTCCGCATTGAGTTGCCTGACTCCTCCCTATCATTTCACAGTGTGTGACAACGGCTTACTCCAAGTCCTGAGGTTAGTATCCTGTGCAGTTCTCCCAGCCTTCCCTTCTAATACAGCATAATGAGCTCTGGTTTCCAGACACTAAAAGAGCACAACATGAGATAATCCAGCCATAGTTAAGGCGACTTAATGTGTGAATCCAAAATAGTTCTTTCATTTCTGTTTTGCTATCCTCTCACTCACAAGCTACATGAAAACCACCTCGAGTCTAAAGAGAAATGGCAGGATACAAATAGTTTAACTAACCAATTAACTATAGCTGGCTTTATTTCTTCTGGCTCATAAGAAAAGTCTACATTTTATTAGCATCAATGGCACAATTCCCACTGAATATAACAGAACTCACAGTGCTATCCTAAAGCAAGAGTTACACGGTCTAAGCCCATCCTGACTTCAACAGACTCAGAAGAGGGTAGCTCTGTTTAAGATGGTGCTATTAATCACACACAATATATCACTAATATGACCTTTTCTTCCCATCCTCTCTGACCAGATGCAATTTGCAGTTGCTGCCCTCCTTTCCTAACTTCTAAAAACAACAAAAAATGAAGCATACTACCTGAAAGCCTCCCCAGGGAAATTCTGGATGATAAACCCCCTCCCCATCCTCCAGAGAAAGATGGGAGTGACCACAGTCAAACATACAATGAAAAAAGAACCCTTTTCCACATCTCACTTTATTTCCCCTTCTTAAGCAGGTGATGTTTTCTCTAAGAGATGGGAAGGGAAGTAGCAAGAGAAGTCAGCTCCCAAGGACAAAAGGAGCCAGTGGCTCCTTCTTCATATGTGGTGGGGTCTCTATCCCTTTTGGCTTCCTCTGTCTGTCGGTGGGGCAAAATTCTCCAAGGGCAAAATTCAAAATTACCAACAGGCACAGCTCTCCAAGTGGCAGGAGTCACATGTAATCACGCCCTATCTCTGTATTGGCTTAGACTGTTAGACACCTAAAGAGTCAGCACAGAACGCAAGAGCCCTGCTGGATCAGACCAGTGGTCCCTCTGGTCCAGAATCCTGTCCCACACAGTGCCCAACCAGTTACTCTAGAGATCCAATAATAGGGAATAGAGGGCAAGGCCTTCCCCGGTGTTACCTCCTGGCTCTGGGATGCAGAGGTTTAGTGCCTCTGAATGTGGAGGCTCCCCTCAGTCACCGTGGCTCTTAGCCACTGACAGACTCATCCTCCATGAATCTCCTGCTAATCCCCTTTTAAAGCTGGAGTTAATGGTTTCTGTGGCACAGTTTGTAATCCAGAGTTTGCCACTCGTCAGCTTAAATTATAGACCTTCTTCCCTTTTACTGTCAGAAAGTGCAATATGCTTTTTTTGGGGGGGGGAACTATTTGGAAAGAGCTTCTGATGTCAAAACAGGGAGGATTTGCTGCGCTAAAGGCACGAATGCCAGGTGGATTTTCGAGGTGCGATCACACCACAACATCTGGGAAGCGTGGCACACCCGTGGCCAACCCGTGGCGTCCCGCCGAAGATGCACAGTAAAAAACTACCGCGGAAAGTGCACTAGTATCCAGAAAACGCGGTGCAGGGGCGGGCGTCTGACTGCGGGAGTGCTAGTATCCCATGGCATCCGCCGCCTGTCCAGGTCTCGTCGCAAACCGGATGTTTTTCATAAGCGCATGCGCACAAACACATAACTGAAAGCAGTGCTGCTCTGCAGAACTGGGCATGTGCACAAATGCGAAACGCTTGCTGCGCCGCTTTTTTGCCATGCTCCAGCATCACCATGTGATCACCAGCTAACAGCCTAAGGTTTATTTTGCTCCGGGGTGAACAGTCACGCCTCCCCCTTGCGTTATCTGGCCCATGTGACCGTGGCCATAAAGAATTTTTGTTGTTGACTTTTATGGTCAGTCTCTCGTATAATAAATGATTCATTTTGGCAGTGTGTCACAGTTCTCTCAGCCAGTCACAGTTCTTGGGCACGTCACAGTTCTCTCAGAACCACCTCAGCCCCACCTATTTCACTAGGTATCTGTTGTGGGGAGAGGAAGGGATAGGTGATTGTAAGCCGCTTTGAGATTCCTTAGGGCAGAGAAAAGCGGGGTATAAAAAAACCAATTCTGAATGCATGCAAAACGAGGGGGGGGGATCCCTGTACAAAGAAAACAAAACATCAAGGAGATATTTAGCTGAGAGGCTAGTGCTGAAATGGCAGCAATACTTACACACACACACACGTGTGCGCACACACACGCGCGCGCACATAGAGTGGGCAAGTTCCCTCCCACAACTTCCATTTCATGTCCTTCACTCAAGTTCTTCTGCCAGCTTAACAACTATGATTCCTGCAAATATCCAGCATACAGTTAACAGCGACGGAACAACCACCGTTCTTTACCTTCACAAGTGAAACCATCCGGCTGAAGCTGGTAGCCCATAAAGCAAGAGCAGAGAACGCTGGACCCTGTATCCCTGCATTGCTGCGTGCAAGGGCCACCGCCTACAAAACCAAGGACAGCTGCAGTTAGTAGCAAAACAGAGTTAACACTTTTCAAATGTCCCTTGTAAAAAAGCCCCAAGAAAAACCTCCGCCATTTAAGCCTTGCCACTACCAATAAATAAATAAAGTTGGTGTGATTTCTGCTTGAGGACAACAAGCAATTCATTTCAAATTAATGGTTGAAAACCAGTGCAAGGCAGTGCTGTCAAAATACCTGAGCCTTGCAAAGCCTTGCCACTACCAATAAATAAATAAATAAAGTTGATGTGATTTCTACTTGAGGACAACAAGCAATTCATTTGAAATTAATGGTTGAAAACCAGTGCAAGACAGTGCTGTCAAAATACCTGAACCTTGCAATATTCACTTAAAATTAGTCAGGGAAGCAGAACATTTCTCAAAAGGAAGCAAGGCCCCTAGAGTAGCCACTATCGCCAAATTACAAAGATGGATGGCATCCGCCCTGTGTCGCTCCGTATGCACACTTTCACCCGGTGTGGGCTGCTGGACAGGGTGCACTCTCTTGCACTGTGATGGCTACAGAGATTTCAACAGACTTTGTTCATAAATTGTCAAGCAAGCCTTTGCAGCCGTAAGAAAACTTGTTCTTTAAAAAAGCACAAGAAGTTGAATTCTGTGTGCATACTTTAACTTAACTGCGTATCTATGGGACCGCCTCCTGTGGTCTATCCCTGGGACAGCATTATACTCTGCGGAAAACAACCTACTAGTGGTCCCTAGACCAAAAGAGGTCTGGCTGTCCTCGACCAGAGCCACAGCCTTTTCAGCCCTGGCTCCGACCTGCTGGGACTTCCTGCCAAATACCACCAGGGCCCCGCGGGGCTTAATGCAATTCTGCAGGGCCTGTAAGGCAGAGAGGTTCCGCCAGGCCTTTGGCTGAGGACAGCAATGATTCCCAACACAGCCGACACCCTTCTTCTTTCGCTTTGGTCCCCTCCTTGCCCCACCTGCAAAACGGCAACATAGTCAGGAGTGGGTCAAGAAGAAACATTGACGCCATCTGGGAATTGGTACAGAGATTTAATTGCTTTTAACATTATTTTTAACTGCTGTACATCACCCAGAGCCTTGTGCTTACAAGGACTGGGCGATTCACAAATCCAACACAGTCAATCAATCAAGCTAGCTAGCAAAGTGCATCCACAATGAAATAGGAAATTAACTCACCTCTGCAACGGTCATGACGGTAGGGATCCTCGTGGTCAACCTCTACTGGTAATACTGCATTGAAAAGGAAGAGAAATGAAATGCAGGCTTCTAATACTGCTGCCCCAAGTCCTTCCCCCTTCCCCTCTGACTACAGCGTCTCATGCAGTCAGAAGTACAGGGAGACTCCACACTTGGCCTCAAACTAGAACAAGGGTTCTCAACACAGTGCCCACGGGCACCCTGGCACCTGCGGACACCTTTCCTGGTGCCCACCAAGTGTTTTTTGAAAGTGGGTGGGGCTTCTGCCTGGCAAGGTTTCCAATTGGCCATTGGACTTTTGATTGGCTGTGCAGATTCTTAAAAATGTTGCTTTGGCAGCAACTACAATCACAGCACAAGCATCTTCACTGTGTGACTGAAGGCAGCTGCGGGCGCGGGCGCTGTTTTGTGGATGGCTTCGCCTCCTGCAGCAACTATTTTGTGGCTGTGCTCACCACACTGTGTCAGAATTCCTAGCTACTTACCTCATACTGCTTCTTAACTTGTAAGTTCTACCCAGATTACTAAAATATAGGAAGGCTAAACCCCATCTGAACGGCTGTGAAACCCTATCACAGATGCATAAAATTTCGCAGCTAAACCGGTGATAGGTCTGCTATTATCTTCTAATAAAAGAGGTAATGTCTCCATATGATCTATATTTTGGAGCAAAGGAAGATCTGAAAGATTTCTAGGCTCAGAAAAGTAGGTTCCATTCAAGGGTCACGTGATACAGGATACCTATACTACCTGCACCACAGTCACATACTCTGTCAGAGTACAGTATATTAAGATAGTGTCAGAATTCCAAAGATGCCCACAGACTTAAAAAGGTTGGGGATCCCTGAACTAGAAGATCATTAACACATGGAATTCACTGCCACAGGAGGTGGCGGCGGCTACAAGCATGGACGGCTTCAAGAGGGAATTAGATAAGCATACGGAGCAGAAGTCCATCAGTGGCTATTAGCCACAAGGTATAGATAGGAACTCTCAGGCTGGGGCAGGTGATGCTTTGTATTCTTGGTGCTTGGGGGAGTCAACAGTGGGATGGCTTCTAATGTCCTGGCCCCACTGCTGGACCGCCTGATGGCACCTGGTATTTGTGGCCACTGTGTGACAGAGGGTTGGACTAGATGGGCCTTTGGCCTGATCCAACATTGGCTTCTCTTATGTTCTTATCAGCTTATGCACAATAAAATGAGACTGCAAAGGGAGCTGGCCTGATTCCGATGGGAATGCTGGCACACCTCAAACAAGGCCCCTTTCTGTGACTCTGCAAGGGTCCACACACTCAGGGGATGATGAACAAATCATGTTAGCAGGACAATAACTTCATCCCTGGATCCATTAACACTCCCTCTGAAAAAACACAGGTCACGCCAGGACACCCACAAGAGGCTCCAGCCAATGGTACCAGTCATTCAGGTACCCCACAAGAGGTCCCTATTGCAATCACTTCCCAGGGCCTGGCAATTTTGGGGTTAGTTCTGCTTTCTAGACTTTTCTAGACCATGGGAGTTGGTTTACATCCCCAGACCTCCTTCCACCACTGGCACAAAGCAACATCCCTTCTTCAAAACAGGAAGACTGTGAACTGTTATCATGTGACCTTTGAATGTAACTTACTTTTTTGAGTCTCGAAGTTTTTTAGCTCTTCTTTTGCTCCAAAATATAGATTATATGGAGACATTACCTCCTTTATTAGAAGGTAATAGCAGACCTATCACCTTGTGTCCTTCCCTCTGTCCCCACATTTCAGTTTCAGTCTTTCCAACTCCTTTTCCAGCCTCTGGTTGGCTGGCTTTTACATCCTCTGAATTCTGTAACCTTCCACTCCACTCCACTCCACTCCACTCCACTCCACTCCACTCCACTCCACTCCACTCTTTCTCCTTCTCTCATGCTCTTCTCTCTATTGTATCCCTCAGGAGATACACACGTTCTCTCCTGGTGGTTTTTACCTGGACTAGCTATGCGGGAGCAACTCAGTTATTTGAGGTAATTCCATTTAAAGAAAAAATTTAAAGAACAAATTTAGAGTCCTTTAAGACCAACAAAGGTTTGTTCAAGGTATGAACTTTCATGTGCATGCACACTTTTTCAAAAGCTCATACTTTCAATAAACTTTTGTTGGTCTTAAAGGTGACACAAGACTCTAAATTGGTTCTACTGCTTCAGACCAACACGGCTGACGACCTGGAACTATCTTCATTTAAAGAGAACACTAGGTTTCTGCAAATCAGTCTCCCTCCTTAATATGGAGAATGCTTAATAAACCTTGCTGTTTCTGTGTATACAAAGGAGAAAAGATGCCTGCTGAAATCAGTGTCTCAGTCTTACACGCGTAGAGAAGCTTATACATGTCTCCTTTGGTGAAAACTGGCAAACTACTGCTTGAGAGCATCTTAGATCAGATCCTGCTACACCTGTTCTAAGAAGCCAGAATGCAATAGACATTCCTGGCACCATCTTGGAAGTGCCTCCCTATGGTGACCATTGGAGGAAATGGCCAGTTAACACGCTAACACAGGATGATGGAAGTCCACGGACTTTCCATGCAATTTCAGCAACATCCAGATGGAGGTTGACAGGGGAAATGGCATGTGGCTGCCTTCCGCTCCAGGATGGCTCTCCTTGGAAAACTACATAATGTATGAGTCAAGACTATAGCCCTGTAGACTTTGGCAACATCAAACTAAGGTCAGTCCTGAAGCTACAAAACACTCTACATCCTGCATGACCTCATGTAAATGGTGAGCCCTCTCATTACCGACCATTTTCACCCACTAAGTTCATGTTCCATCAGTTTCTTCTTGACAGAACTTACCTAACTCTTTGTTGGGACTGTCGACAAGCAATGGGTCAGTGCCTTCTTGCCCCTCAACACAGCAAGCTCTGAAGACCAGTCCACACTGATATCCCATCTGCAGACTCTGCTCACAGCTGTTCCCTTGCTTTCGGGCCACCTTCCCCATAAAGCAGCAGTAACAGCATTTCTGCAAAAAATGCAATTTTCACGGAACTTTCAGATAACGCAGTATTTCTTTTTGACCTTGCAACACATAAGCTGGAAGGTTGGTTCCACACAAACTCCAGCTGGCAAACTGGGAACCAGCCTCATGAACTGCCTTTCCCCCCCCGTGATTTCTCTCCGCCCTTCCCTTTACTGTGTCAATTCTGCTGTTGAACATTTGGGAAAGGTGACAGTGGCAGAATCCATCGTAGAAGCTAAAGCTCTCATTGAATCACCTTCCTCTGGGGCTCATCCCTTTGCCTGAGGCTCCTCAGACCCTGCTATTAATAGAATATTCATTCTTAGCAAAGAATATTATTTTTACATTTTCTGATTTACTTTAGAAGACAAAGAAGAGATTGGATTTATAACCTGCCCTTCACTACCCAAAGGTGTCTCAGAGCGGCTTACAAACTCCTTTCCCTTCCCCTCCACACAACAGACACCCTGTGAGGTAGGTGGGGCTGAGAGAACTCTGACACAAACTGCTCTTTTTCAAGGACAGCTCTGACAGAGCTTGTGACTGACCCAAGGTCACACCAGCAGGAGCAAGTGGAGGAGTGGGGAATCAAACCCAGTTCTCCCAGATTAGAGTCCGCGCACTTAACCACTACACCAAACTGGCTCTTTATAGCCTGCTCTCTCAAAGACTAACTAAGAGTGGTGACATCAGTTTATAAATTTACAATTAAAATTTCCAATATCAAATAAATCAATCAATAAAATACACTAAGATACAAACAATACAATAAAATCAAGATGGCATAAACCCACTGAAGAAGGGGAATGGCGGCTGAAACAAAAGGGGTGGGGGGAAGGGGGAGGCCAGTCCGTTAGATGTTACCGATTGAACACCACCACCTGTACTGCCTTCAACCACAGGCCTGGTGGAACAACTCAGTTTTGCAGGCCCTGCGAAATTGGACTAAATCCCGCAAGGCCCTGATCTCTCCTGGAAGAGGGTTCCGCCAGGCCAGGGTCAGGGCTGAAAAAGCCCTGGCCCTGGCTGAAGACAGATGGATGCTCCTTGGGCCAGACCCACCGGTAGGTTTTGGTTACTCGAGCATAGTGCTCTGTGGGGGACATACCAGGATAGGCGGTCCCAAAGTTATGCATTTTCCACATCTATAACTGAACAGTGGGTTGGGCAGACCTCTTAGACTTGCCCACTCAAGAAGGAGCCCTTCTTCTAAAGCCCTTTTACAGCCTGGAATCCTCATACTTGTGGGACTGCCCATCCCGTTATAACCCCCCTGCTCCCTTCGGCCATTGTCTCAGGGCCTTTTGCAGGTGCCTGGCCCCAGGATGGTTCGTTAGCTGTTACCAGTTGTGGCCCCTACCTTGTGGAAGGCTCTCTCTCTCTCTCTCTCTCTTTTTGAATAGTTTTTGTTTTATTTAATTTGCTCAGATACAAATAAGTAGCTTAAATTTTTAGAAATGCTCATCCAAAACAAAGCAATTAAGCAATACCAAACTTTTGCAATACAGAGTAATATGAGTACCTGATCAAGTTTGTGCTTTCCAAAAGCAACTGTAAACATTACAATGTTGTTACAGATAACTGTGTATCTTAGTGTTATATAGAACATACACCAAATAAATTGGACTTATCTGATTAACTTGCATAAATAGGTAATAAGAAGAGAGACCTAATAAGATTATTAACAGAATAAACTTCTAATCCATTTATGTAATTGGGACCACTCAGAGGAGAGAAACTGCTGTTGTGATTGGAAGGCACTCTCTGATGACACCCGTGCCCTGCAGGACTTGCATGCTTAGCAGGGTGTGCAAGGCCAAATTGTTCAAGTTGGCCTTTGTACATTAACCAAATGTTTTGGGCTGGTTTGATAGCAATATGGTTTGGAATTCTGTATTCGGTATCTTAATATCTTATACGCATTATCTGATTCTATTGGTTTTGTTTTGGCCACAGACAAGGTAAACAGAATAACAAGCAAAAGGTGGGTGTGGCTGGATGACCACACTTCTGGTAACATGGGAATGCGGCTTAATATGCTAATGAGCAGTGCAGTCAGGGGTGTGGCCTATTATGCTAATGAGTTCCTGCTGGACTTTTTCTACAAAAAAAGCCCTGCCTATATCATTTGGGGCAAGCATACCTGAAGGACTGCCTACTCCCTTATAAACCTACCTGACTACTACAGTCATCTGTACCGGGTCTGTTTCAAGGTCCTGGTGCGTACCTTCAAAGCCCTATATGGCCAGGGGCCTGCATACCTTGTGAGACCACCTCTCCCCTTATGAGCCCCAAAGAGCTTTATGAACGGCTCATCAGCATCTCCTGGTGGTCCCCTACCCCAGGGATGTCCATCTGGCCTCAGCTAGGGCCTGGGCTTTTTCGGCCCTGGATCCTATCTGGTGGAATGAGCTCCCATATGAGAGTTCTGCAGGGCCTGTAAGACGGAGCTTTTCCACCAGGCTTTTAGTTGAGATGGCAGGTGTACTCCTACTATCTATTGAGCCTCGCCTTCGGTGGATCAGATCTGTGTAATATCTGGAACCCAAATTTGTGATCGACCTCATTTGTTGAGGCTTTGGTTAGCTATATAGGAATTATTGCTGTATTTTATCTGACGTATTTTAACTGTTTTTAACTGTTTGTATATTATATTTGATGGAACCCACCCTGAGCCCACTACGCAGGGAGGGCGGGAGACAAATCTAATAAAAATAATATTTACGGCCCTCCTTCCTGCTCTAGGTTTGCCTGTGCTTTTAAATACATGTATTACTTGGGGTTTTAACTGTTTTTAAAACGCTTGTTTTAACTGTTAGTCGACTTCGTAGCCCTAATGGGCAGAAAGGCAGGGTACACATTTTGTATAAATAAATTAATTAAAATAATGCCAATTGTCATGTATCAACCCATTATCACGTATCAACCTGATCTGAATATCCAATCATCACCAGTGCTTGGAAGCTAAGCAGAGTCAGCCCTGGTTAGTACTTGGACAGGAGACCACGAAGAAGTCTAGCACTGCTGTGCAGAGGCAGGCCATGGCAAACCCACCTCTGCTCATACTTTGCCTTGAAATCAGCTGTGACACGATGGCATTAATATCAATCTTCCTGGCATGCGGATTTAAATAAAGAGTTTACTGCAGATCAATGGAACCAAATTTGGAACTCACTGCCCGCTACCTCAAGAGCTTTGAACATTCAATTGCAAAACTTTAAGCTTGTTTCTCGCTGGTACCTGACTCCTGCACAACTAACCCACTCAAACCCTACTATGTCTCCAGTCTGCTGATGATGATGTGGTGAGCGAGGGACTTATTTCCATGGCTGGTGGTCTTGTGAAGTGATTGGTAAATTTTGGACCCAAATACAAGACCAAATTCATAAGATCACTAGTTATTGGATTCCCAAGACCCCTGAACTGTACCTTCTCAATTTGTGGGATCATTGCAATGCTCCCAAGCTAAAACAAGAACTTATTATGTTAATGTTAATTGCTGCTAAATGTGTTATTGCTTCACACTGGAAATCAACATCAATTCCATCGCTGCAAGAATGGTTCATAAAATTGTGGGACCTATTTATTCTGGACGAGATTACAAACACTTTAAATAAGTCTAGAGGTCCCTCAAATCAGCCCAGTCTTCTAGGGAAATGGTACCCCTTGTTACACAAGCATTGGTCAGGCATCTCAAATAGTTGTTATATACTAGACAAGAATCAAATCTCTCCTCTCTGCTCACAATGAATGAATTGTAATTATTCCTTTTCATGCCATATTGAAGGTTCTAATGCTAATTTATATCTGTTAAGATGTGTGTGATATTTGGAGCTGTGTTTGTATTTACCTTTTGCTGTTCTTTGTTGATTGCACTCCATTCTATTGTCAGTTTGTAATATTGTTATATTGCTCAATAAAATTTAAAACAACAAAACCCGGAAGCGAACACCCCATTTATTCACCGTATGTTTTAAGCCTGGCCACACGAGGGCTCTCATTGACTGAAGTGAATACTATAGACAAACATGGGAGAATCTGAGAATCAGAGACGGATTTCACACAAGAGCTGTGCCGCGGTTACGCGCGGGCTAGAGCCGGCAAGCGTTACTAGGCAAAGCTGGGAATTGTGTGGCTCCCACGGTTGGCCTTGAAGGCAGACAACACACATTACCACCTGTACGGCTTTGGAGATTAGCATTTCAGCACAGAACAGAGAGAAAAGAATGCGAAAGCAATTTACACAGACACTGAAAGAACATCCCCACCCCCATGGCAGCATAGCTGACAACTCCCTTTGCCCCGCTTCTATTGGTCAATTTCCCACTCGAAGCCGCGCAGCCGCATTTTGACCCACGGCTTTGCCCGATTTTCCCCATGGTTTCATGATCCTCAAAAAACAGGATCACGAAATGGCGGGGGAAATCGGGCGAAGCCGCGGGTCAAAATGCAGCCGCATGGCTTCGAGTGGGAAATTGACCAATAGAGGCAGGGCAAAGGGAGGCGCGACCGTGGCGCAGCTCTTGTGTGAAATTGGTCTGAGAGAACGTACCAAACACACACATTCAGTCCATGTGAGGCACTAGCCAAGCCCTAAAGCCTCACTGCTGCCTCTGCTCTGTAGGAGAGGCAGGGTATAAATATTACAATAATATATAAAATGTTAATAAATGTGCGAACCGAGAGTGTAGAACAGATTAATCACAGACACACCCTTGCCACAACATATTGCAAGTGAAAATCGGTAGCAAAGTGCCTTGCCAAAACGCTTCAAAGGCAATCCAGGGTTGCAGAACACAGTCTGGAAGCCACAACAGGAGGCTAAAGGAAGACAGAGCACTGCAGTAGGACTGTGAAGAACAATTCTTCATTCAAGAAGACAAACTTATCAAACAGCACCGCCTCCCAAGTCTCACCTTCACAATTTTGTCTTCATAGGTAGAATTACCTTCGTGCGACTCGCAGCCTTCTTGCTTGCTGGCGAGAGCGATCCCAGCGGTACAGTGCCGCTCCTCCACATGACTGAGACAGCACTGCTCCTGAGCGATGCTAGAACGAGAGAATCCCAGGCTCAGCACGCAAGACAGCCCTCCCGTTCTCACAGCCATGTCCGCCCTAAGCCCAAATCCAGTTCCTTTTATCTGGCCCACCTGATGTCTATGGTAGAGAAGCAAAGAATATGGCTGAGAATATCCTATCCAGCCATTTTGGCTTTCCCAAAGTAATATATTTAATTCCTCATTTAACAATGTGCATCAGAGAAATGGGGCACAGCTCTTCATGGGCTAAACTAACTTCACCTCAAGTGTAGGCCCGAATTCTTGCCTATAATGAAAAGAGACCCTCCCCCCCACTCATAGAAAAGTAAGAGGCATGCACCAAACTAGAAAATTTTAATTGCGTGCCTGTAAGATATTGTCTTATGAGTATTTTTGGAGTATTATGGTTGACTGGACTGTGTGATATGGCTTGAGATGGATACACAGGGCTTCGTTCTGTTCTGCCTTGAAGAAGCTTTGTGGGAAACGGATACCAAGGCTGGCAGGCTCCATTGGAGAATGGAATGACGGCACCCTTGAAAGTTATTGAGACCTTTGAAGACTGAAACTAACATCCATCTAGTGTTCCCTCTAAGCTGAGTTAGTGTGAGCTAGCTCACAGTTTTTTAGCCTCTGGCTCACACATTTTTGTCTCAACTCAGGAAGGAGGGCTCCAGAGCAAACTAATTTATGCAGGAGCCAAATCGCTTGCTCACAGCTTTAATGCCAGTAGCTCACAAAGTAGAATTTTTCCTCACAGGACTCCACAGCTTAGAGGGAACACTGCATCCATCATTCCATAATTTGTCAGTAACCATCTTATGAAAGATGATTTATAATAAGGCTTAACAAGCATTATAACTCATTGGCACTGTGCACTTTATTGGAATAGTCATTTAGATCTGAGCCTACCTATTTTATGTGGTTTTGGAATGATTTCTGAAATTCTGGATATGATATTGATATGCATGGAATGATTTGTTTATATGAATTTGTTTACATGAATAGATACTGAAGTTTGTTTAATTAAAATAATGCCAATTGTCATGTATCAACCCATGTTTTCATAGTTAATTTTTCACAGCTGCCCTTGTTGCCGTGCATGATCTTCTATTCATGATTCTCTTGCAGTTGTTACCAAACTAGAACTTTGGCAGTAATACAGGTATGGGATGAGATATCACTTTTTCCCTGCAAAATGGGAAAAGAGCTTCAATGGGGAGGGGGGAGTGTTGTAGTACTAGGTTGCAGAGGGAAGCAGAAAGCGATAAGCAGCTTGGTTACTTTCCCCTGTAGGGGAGGGGCTGTGGCGCAGTGGTAGAGCATCTGCTTGGTATGCAGAAGGTCCCATCCCAGGTTCAATCTCTGGCATCTCCAGATAAGGATCAGGTAGGAGGTAATATGAAATACCTCTGCCTGAGACCCTGTGAGCCACTGCCAGTCTAAGGCCCCGGTCACACTGGGGGAAAAGGTGCGGCTGAAGTGCGGCTTTTATGAGCCACATCAAAAGAGAAACGCGGCGGCAGGATCAGACAGATTCCCCGAGCCGCCGCGCAGTTGCTTCCTGGCATGATCAGGTGCCAGGGGGAAGCCACAGATCGGTGAGCGAGGCAAGCCCGCTGCGCATTCATGCGCAGTTCTACATGGCCTCCATATGCTGCAGGGAGACGGGCGCGTCGGCGATCAGACGCCGGCCCGTGCTGCGCATCAACAGGTAGGTAGTACTCTTTTGGTGCTACCTTTTTGCGGCAGGTTTTTGGCTGGAAGGGACGGATCAGGGACGGGTGCACACCGCTTCCCAGATGTTGCGGTATAATCGCACCCGCTTGATGCGCCCCTGATCCGTCCTTCCTGCGGGGCAAATCCTCCCGTGTGACCGGGGCCTAAGTAGACAATACTGGACCAAGTTGGACCAATATTCTGAATCAGTATACGGCAGCTTCACGTGTCCATAGAGAGTCCCCTTCTAACTGGCAACAAGGGAGCTACTTCAAGGCATGTCCAGTCTTGCCTTGAATAAAAAACCCCAAACTTCTCTGCTCTTCAGATACAGAAATAGAGAAATGGACAATCTAAAAAAAATCTGACACCAAAGAAGATTTAAAACCTCATTTCTTAAATGACTACATCATGCCAAAATGTTTTTATTGTTTTTTACAAATGTGTAAAATCTAGTTCTGATGCAATATCGAAAGGCTACCATTAAGACAGGGTTACCAGATGTCCTCTTTTTATTGAACATGTCCTCTATTTTTGGTGCCTGTCCTCTTTTGGGCTCTTTTTAAAAAACTGATGAAAATGTCCTCTTTTTGGGTTGGAAGGTTAGGAATATTCCTAGTTAGTAGCAATTCCCACAACTTAAATAGTAGGGGCATTTAAAATGAGATTTGTCACAGTGATCATTTGTTTGAAGTGGTCAGGAAATATGTCCTCTTTTTTGCTTTTCAAAATATTTTAAAATATATAGTAAAAGATATATACTCTGATTAAGATACATACTATATGATAGTCCGACATTACTACCTAGGTCTTCCAGTCAATGCAATCAGCAATGCTTGAAGGCCGTTATACCAACACGCCTGTTGCCCAGCGTCTCTGCCCGCGTGGACCTGTTATTCTGTCTACCTAGGAAGAAATTTCTAGACCCAATCTTGGCCTCCTTAGGTACTAGAACAGAAACTGAAAAAATTCTAGTTCTACTAGCAGATGTAGAGGTTGAGATTTCATACAAGGTGGCCCTCTTCGCCCTTGCTGCAAAGAAAATCCGGAAGAAAACAGTAGCAGTACCATAGCTTGATTACCAACAGAAGTCTGGTTGGGAGAGATGGAATTATTATAATGTTTTATTGTGTCCTAACTTAGTTTTTAATTCTTCTGGTTTTAGAAGTTTATACAGATGTTATTGTTATATTGTCCTGTCATTGTAATGGCCTATGGCTAAAGGCAATAAACTGAAACCTAGGATAATAGGATAAAGATTTATAAAATTAACAGTGCAATGTTAGACAGTTACACCCTTCCAAGTCCATTAACAGGCTTAAAAGGATGTTTCTTAGGACTATACTGTGAAAGTGGTACATCGGTGGAAAAAGGGCATTGTTTTCTGAAAACACCAATATTCTTGGTTGTACAAGTGATGCAAATCTGCCTCCCATCTGACCTCTGCACTCCACTCCTAGCTCTGCACACACCCCCAGAAGCGCACTGTTAGCTTTCAGCTACGAACTTTGGAACATGCAGCTTATTTTCATAAGGGAGATGTAACAGCTGTTCTAAGTTTGGAGTAAGCCTGAAACTGAACTTCATTTTGTTTCTAAGTCCTATGTTCCCATTCCCCCAATCTGCCTATCAATGTGTGCTATCAAAAACAGGCGAGAGACATCCCTGAAAGTGGGAGAGAATACTATCAGAGTATTAAAAGACATTCCATTTGAAGTAAGACAACGGAGAAAGAAGTATAAAGAACTTGTGCTTTTTCTTCAGACAAATTCAATTGGATATAAATGGTTATTTCCAGAAGGCGTCACTTTCAAGATTAAGGATAAAAAAGAATAGATTGACTGTGTTCTGACAGCTCAAGAATTTCTAAGAGTCCAGTTGGGAAAGTCAGAGGACGGTAAAAAAGAAGAGGACAGCAAGTCCAGTGGCGAGCTAGACTCGGGTTCTTCCGGAGAGGACTCTCTGGCAGAGCAAGGGGCAGCAGCCTCAAAAAGTCCTTATAAGTTACGGAAGAGAAGGGGAAAGGAGAAGTAAAGGCTGAAGGACTCTGAATTATGCCTTTGAGAACTTTGAAATGGGATGATTGGGGGTACTGTTTTTAGACAGTTAAATTTTAAGCTTTAAAGGAAAAGTATTTTAAATGTTTGACTCAGTTTGTAATGGGATTAATGATGGGAAGACTTGATGTAATTAAGCTAGTAGGAGGATCTCCTCTCTTGGGTTTTTAGTTAGTAGTGGGTTCTTTACTTTATCCCATAAATGTAGTTTCCCTTCCTATTTCTTCTGTTATAGTTTTTGTAGTGATATAAAAAAATAATAAAAAATCCCCTCTGGGGGGCTCAAAAAAAAAAAAACAGGCGAGAGAGAGAGGAAGACAGTGAGGAAACGAGGAACTCATCCAGTGGAGAAACATCCAGTCATGTTGTGCTCCCACCTGCAGTACAGAGTGATACAAGCCAGAGCCAGGTTCCACTCCCATGAAAGAAACCAGGTCATAATGTGGAGAATGTGACGTTAGGACGCCGAGCATGCTGGGGGCGGGACCACGACCATCCGAGGGAAAACCATAGAGTTTTCCCTCGGATGACAGTGGCCCCGCCCCCAGCGTGCCCACCATGGTCGCGTCACTTCCGGGTGACGCACACGTCGGGGTGGGGTTCCCCCCAGGGCCCGATCTGCCGGTGGCGGGGAACGGGCCTCTGGGGCGGGGTTTTCCCCGCCCCCCAGGGGGACTTGGGAAGCCTACTTAAAGGTGCCACTGGATTCAAACTTCATTCTGCTGCTTCAGACCAAAACGGCTAGCCCACCTGAATCAATCCTAAACAGAGTTACCCATTTCGATGGATTTAGCAGAGTGCAACTCTGCAGAAAGTTGCACTGTCATTGTCTTGACAAGTCATGAAGGTCTGTATAGAAATAACATGTCCATCAGCAAAATAAGAACTTGCTTCATAAGGGTTTTGGCTCCCAGACAGTGATTAAGACATATGGTTTCCCTCTCTCCATGTAATTAAAAAAATTATTCAAGCAACTTCGAAAGAAACAAATTTTATCTGTCAACTGCTCCACGTAGGAGTTTGATTTTTGGAGCCAACATAAATGCAAAAATTCAGAAAGTAGTGATAGATACGATTACAAAACACATTCCATGTTTAAAAAAAATCAAGCCAAGCCATTTACAACTGCACATCTGAAAACAGAGAGAGGAGTCCTGGTCTCTGATCAGATCAGGTGACTCAACCTTCTAGTAAGTAGTGACATGTAAGCGAGTCCCAAGCCAGTGTAGGAGAATAACATGCCCAAGGAAACATGGGAAACTGCAAAAGGAGGTAAGACAGAATCCAGGTCATCAGACTTCCAAACCAAATGATGTAAGCCCAGGAACATTCCGTCTGTTGCTAATAACAACAGGCCACCAAATGGAGTTGAAGAATACCTGCATTCTCTGGAGTCGAGATTCAAGGGCAGAGAGCTGCAGTCTCTTTTCTGACTCGCCCATTCGTATCCACTTGCGCAGCAGCTCTCCACTGAAGTTTCTGCAGAAAGAAAAAGCAGCTTGTGTTAGACGCCCAGCAAACAGTATTGAGAGAATCCAGTTACCACTCCATTCACTTTTTTGCTCTTCTGTCTCCCTTCCATGACCTGTTTCTTATGAGAAACAGGAATGGTTTTGATAGGACTATTTTTGTCTCTCCTGAACCAACTGCCAACTACTTTACGGAGTGAATGAGGGGCAGAAAATTTTGCTTTGTCCAGGATCCCACTGTTGGACCACTTCTGAGTCAAAAAGAACCCGGCATGTCTCCAGAGATATGCCAGTGGATGTGCCTACTGGAGTAGAAATGTCCTTCAGTTAAGAGATGCTCTCCTATCTAACAACCTTGCTCTGGAAACGATTGTTCCTGTGAAAACACACTTGAAGAAAAACTTTTAAACCCGACAGGTGCATAAGTACAGTGTTAAAAACTGAATAATATAAATAATGGAAAATTAAATATACAGCTGGCAGATTTTTTTTCCTGAGGGAAAAAAATACCCAGAGGAAAAAAAATAGCTGAAACAAGTTAAACACGGCTCCAATTCTCAGCACGAATAAATACTTAAATCCTATTGAAGTCCGAGGGATTAAGTCCCCCGTGTGCAGACAGTACCCTCAGTCGTTTGGACTTCATATTATTTGTGAACAATGGCCAAATGTTAATGAGCAACAGCATTCCATGCCCAGGATGCTTCAAGCAGAGAAGTTCACCACATGGCTGGAACATTAGACTGCATAAATGAGTCACTCTAACTTGACGTGTAATAAGCAGAAAACCAAACAAAAAGGTGCTTTGCTACACTTACTTGTACACATCCCAGAATAAAAAGCGCACTTGAGCTCTTAACACTAGAGAAGTCACACATGAGCACCAACCGGCATCTTTTAGCATGTTTTATCAACAAGGCAGAGATCAGAAACTGGCAAGAAAATTGGAATCCAACTGGGGCTGAAGCATTTCCAGAACAGAGCTCGTACCTACCTCTTTCTAGCAAGTTCCAGAACTACTGCAGAAATTATATGAAAGAGGCCAGGTTTGCCTACATGCAAATATATTAGGAAAAACGTTTTTATAGTAAGAGTTGTGCAACCGTGGAATCAGCTGCCCAGGGAGGTGGTGAGCTCCCCCTCACTGGCAGTCTTTAAACAGTGTCTGGACAAACACTTGTCAGGGATGCTGTAGGCTGATCCTACATTGAGCAGGGGGTTGGACTAGATGGCCTGCATTGTTGTTGTTGTTCAGTCTCACAATCGAGTCTAACTCTTCGTGACCCCATGAGCCACATCATGCCAGGCCCTCCTGTCTTCCGCCATCCCCCGGAGTTTGCTTAATTTCATGTTTATTGCATCGATAACACTGTCTAACCATCTCATCCTTTGCCATCCCCTTCTTCTTTTACCGTCAATCTTTCCCAGCATCAGGGTCTTCTCCAGTGAATGTTCCCTTCTCATTTGGTGGCCAAAGTATTTGAGCTTCAGCTTCAGTATCTGGCCTTCCAGGAAATACTCAGGATTTTTTTTTAACAAATATTTTTTATTATTTTCTAATACAGTAGCCATAGTGTTATACATACAAGAATAATCAAGAAGGTTCTAACAGTGAATAAAAATATCATCAATCTTTACAAAGCAATTTGAGATAATACAACATCTTCTTAAACAAATGCTTTAAAAGTATAGCAAGCTCTGGTAATGTTTATTTTTCAAGATGATTCCCCCCTCTATAAGTTATCCAACCACTGGGAACCAAACCACCTGAAAGGTTTTCTGATAACTTTCTATATTTGTAATAATATTTTGAGAAGAAATCTTACCATAAACAAAGTGTTCCCAAACTTTATTTTGCCAGGTAGTTAAAGTTGGGCCTGAATTATCCTTCAATTTCTGTGCTATGGTTATTCTAGCAATCGCGATTAAGGTGATTATTAACAGCATTTTTGTTTTATTTCCAGATATATGCCCAACTATGCAAGGTTAAGGAGAGACTGAACGTGCTTTTCACTTTGGAGGAAGCTTTGAGCTCACTAAGAGAGACTTTTTGCAGCGTTCATTGAAAAATTTGGATAAATATTTTGGTATTTGGCAACCTTGTGCTTGGAAATGTCTGTTGAACTCCCTGAGGAAGACACTGAAACAGGAGGATATCTGGACCTCTGTTGGAGAAAGACTGAGCACTTATTCAAAATAGACTTAAAGGAATCCTCCCTCTTAAAACTTTTGTATAATTAAGGAGGATTGTGCAATATCTTTTGTGATATATTAAGAGACGATACTTAGATGTTTTGATATATGATTCTTTTTATGTATTAAGGCTTATAAGATAAATAATATATGGTGAATAAATTGTAAAAATATAAAAGAAAATATATATATAAAAATTATTTGAGATATTTTATAATCGTTTGTAGCACGGTATTTGCTGATTTTTGGTATTTCCTACTTACTGTGGGTCCTATTTTGGTTTTGTGAAATCCTATGCATACTTATCTGAGAATAAATCCCAAATACAGTCGAACTATCTCCTGAGTAATTATACTTATGATGGAGCTGTATGGTCTTCAATCCACCTGCAGGCTTCTGGTGTAAGCGAGATAATGTCAATCAGGAGTTCTAACTTGATCCAGGGACACCTCCAGACTAAATTAAGAATCATTCCGTATCCATGAAAACTGGAGCTGCCATACTGCCTGGATGCTTGGGTTTCCCTCAGGATCTGAGCATCATGTCAGCTGCACCCTTTTAGCTCATTTGCTAGCCCAGATTCCCAGCTTTAACCTTTAAAAAACCCAAGTATTTAGGTCTTCTAGATCCGGAGCTAGAAGGCAAAACATGCAAACAGTTTTTGACCAAATTTATGTAGTGCTCCCCTTTGTTCTAGCCAATGAGGTAAGTCACAGCTGGAACTGACAACATATGGGAAGCCCGAAGAAGAAGAAGAGATTGGAATTATACCCCGCCCTTCACTACCCAAAGGTGTCTCAGAGCGGCTTACAAACTCCTTTCCCTTCCCCTCCCCACAACAGACACCCTGTGAGGTAGGTGGGGCTGAGAGAGTTCTTGACAGAAACTGCTCTTTTTCAAGGACAGCTCTTATCAGAACTATGGCTTGCCCAAGGTCATCCAGCAGGAGCAAGTGGAGGAGTGGGGAATCAAACCCGGTTCTCCCAGATTAGAGTCTGCGCACTTAACTACTACACCAAACTGGCTCTCACAAAGGAATGGGTCGCTTCTCTACTGCCATGAGCTGCCACTTCTGTGCCTACCTTAGCTACAGCTACTGATACCTCCTCCATCTGAGCTTTCTGCTTCTTATGCTTGAACTGGCAGCTGCAAGTCAGTAATCTTAAGGAAAAGCATCTCATGCCTCCTTGTGAATTTCCAAACTATTCAGTCGTGTACTAAAAACGAGAGCCTCTTAAAAATATAAAAGCGAAGCGTTTATTACCACTCCGTACCCCAGCTCCATCAATAAGGGTGAGAGCAGCAGCAGCACAAAAACAAACTAAACTTTATATTTTTAAAACTGGAAAGTAATTGGAGATGGTGCACTATCAAGTCAAAAGGAGCAACATTTGGGGTGTCACATCCCAGTTGACTGTAGACAATCTTTTGGGTGCCTCTGAAAACTGTGGAGATCGGAATGGACCTGGTTGATCTAAAAATTCAAATGAAAATGGATGCTTTGTAATTATTTTCCTTTTACACAATTCAGTTTCAAACCTTTTTCCTTTCCTCTGTGTGTGTATGTAGAAAGGGAGGATTTGGTAACATTCTGAATGCTCACAAAAAACTCTGCAGTCCAAATTAATGTTCCTGCACAGTTGCGACTCTTCCTTCTGGCTGTATATTTAAAGAAAGTGTATTATTTTTATTACTTGATTATCTTTTACATACTGGTCTTTGACTATTTATGTCAATAAAAAGCATATTCAGGTTCTGCAACCATGGGGTGAGCCATAGGGTTGCCATCCCCCCATGAAACTGAAAGCAGTGCTGCTCTGCGGAACTGCGCATGCGCACAAATGCGAAACGCTTGCGTGATCGTGCCGCGCCAGTTCTTTGCCACGCTGCAGCATCGCCATGTGATCGCCAGCTAACAGCCTAAGCACGGAGACTCGGGGGACCGTGTGATCGGGCTACCGCGCTTTATATTGCTCCGGGGCGAACAGCCACGCCTCCCCCCCATGTTATCTGGCCTGTGTGACCGGGGCCTATCTTTTACATACTGGTCTTTGACTACTTATGTCAATAAAAAGCATATTCAGGTTCTGCAACCATGGGGTGAGACATAGGATTGCCATCCCCCCAACGGGGGCAGGAGTTCCCCCATTTTCGAGGAGCCCAATCCGCCACTGGCCAGCTGGTTGGTGGTGAGCCCCATCACGATGATGTCACCACGCCAGGCACACTGCAGGGCAGATGCTCTAGCATTTGGGTTAAAACTGCATGGTGACCATAGAGGTTTTTGCCCAAATGCTAGAGCATCCCCTGCACAACATGCACAATGTGATGATGTCACTTCCAGGTGATGTTATCACAGCGTGCGTGTGTGAAGATCCAGAGACCGGGCAGGAGCATCCCTGCCGGCAGCCAGGTAAGACCTGGCAACTCTAGGTGAGGGTAGAACCACAGTGTGGCCTGCTTTTATGGATTGGTAGGTTAATCTTGATCTTTACAGCCAGTTTCCCAGTGGTTTGTGAGAGCCAGCAAAATAGTGGTTCAGGTGTTGGACTAGAAGAACTGGTTCAGATCCCCCACTCTGCCATGGAAGCTTACCGAGTGACCTTGGGTCAATCATGAACCCTCAGCCTAACCTACCTCCAAGGGCTGTTGTGAGGAGAAAATGGAGAAGTTACAAGGAATTAACTCCTCTTCAGTCTGGAAGTTAAAAATAAACAGTGGAGGTAGGGGGACATCTTTCACGGCATCTTTGTGTCACCCAGGCGTCGGAAACAACGGCATGTTCAAGGTTTCAGCTCTTTCTTAAAGCCCCCCCCT